AACAATTAAACATTCAATTAACAATTAAAATAAATATTAAATAAACAACTAAACAATTAAAGTAAATAATTTAAATACATATTTAAATATTGAATAAATAATTTAAATGAACAATTTAAATAAATAATTAACAATTAAATATTAGATAAACAATTTAATTGAGTGAAGTAACAATGGCACAGCTAGTTGACATATTTAGGGAATGCGACAATATGTTTGACAAGTTGAAATTAGAGATAGTGTTTATACTGTAGAGAGCATACTGAGGGTCATCACAAGAAGATGTCGATCAATGTATTTCATTTGGAGGTTGTTGATGACATTGATACATTTAACAACTATCCCTAGAGACAAAGATGACAATTATCGGCTTTTCTCGACGATCCTGAGGCTCGTATATTCATTTGTGATTTTATGTTGTATGTCATTTCGAAAACTCGATGTATGATCATTAACTTGGTGAAATATGTCAGCTTGAAGTGCTCACTAAGCTGACATCGTTGATCGAGGAGGAAGGTCAGAGTCATATTCGATGAGATACAATCAGCAGGTGATGGGGGTCTCAGATAGTGACAGAGAGGGTGGCGAATATGGTGACTAGGAGGGTAACGATGAAGGGGTGGGGATGTACACAGATGTTTCATTAGAATCGTTATAGATGTCAGTGGGAATGGGAGAGGTGTCAGTGGAGGGGACGAAATAATTATAATAATTGTATTTATGAAATAATTGTATATTTTTTTTATTTATGAAATAATTATATATATTGTAAAATTTATTTAAATAAGGTAATTAAATATTACATACATAATATACCCAACCAATTAAGATAATTTTTAAATAAAATATCTAAATAGGAAATTAAATTAAAATGTTAATTTTTATTTAATTAAGTGATTAACTAAATAATTAAACAAAGTAATTAAACAATAAATAAATAACATACATAACTAATTAAGACAATTAATTAAAGAAATATTTAAATAAGACATTAAAATAAATATTATTTTTTATTTAAATAAGTGATCATTTGAATAAAGTAATTAAATATTAAATAAATAATATACATAACCAATTAAGATAATTAATAGAGAAATATTTAAACGAGAAACCAAATTAAATATTAATTTTTTTATTTGAGTAGGTATTTAAAATAAATAATTAAGTAAGGGTCAATTAAGATAATTAATTAATGAAATATTTAAAAGAGAAATCAAAATTAAATTTTAATTTTTTTATTTGAATAAGTGTTTAAAATAAATAATTAAATAATTTATTAAATATACATAATCAATTAAGATAATAAATTAATAAAATATCTAAATGAGAAATCAAATTAAATATTAATTTTTTTTAAGCAAGTGATTAAATAAATAATTAAATAAAGAAATTAAATATTAAATAAATAATATATATAACCGATTAAGATAATTAATTAATAAAATATTTAAACAAGAAAGTAAATTTAATATTAATTTTTTTAATTTGGGTAATTGTTTAAAATAAATAATTAAATATAAAGTGAAAAGTGTTTGATTTTTTAATTTGTAACTTAAGGGTATTTTTGTCTTTTGAAACAAAATTCTATTTTTGTAATTGTATAAACTATTTAAGGACATTTTTGTCTTTTACTCAAGAAAAGGCCATTTTGGTTATAGACAAATATTTTTTGGTTAAAGTGAAAAATTGCACATTTGACTAAGCCAAACTAAAAATTACCCCATAAAATGAATTATTCATGTGGCCCTGTTTTCCAGTGGGACTGGGACGAATCGGGACAACACGCTGGGCACATACACAATACACGTCCATTTGTGGGTTCCATTCTTGATTCTCCTCTTCACCTCCTTGGCTTTTTGGGACTCGTTCTTTTCATTCAGACGATCTATGCAGAGATACGTATGATGCGTTAAAATCCTGTGCAAGTTGACTTTTTCTCCACAACCCGTTTAAATTCAGTTTTTGTATTGAAGAAAATTCACAAATGGGGTCGTGGAATTCAATATATCTGAAGGTATCATACAATGTTTTGGGATGGACTGCATTTGTCTCATGGTCCATCAGTTTCTACCCGCAAGTGATTTTGAATTTCCGAAGGAAAAGGTTTTTCTAATTCTTATTCACCCACTTTAATTTGTTCTGAAATTTCAAATATCGTGTTTTAATTGCTTGTTTACGTAGTGTGGTGGGTTTGAACTTTGATTTTCTGCTCCTGAATTTGACGAAGCACTCGTCGTATCTCATCTACAACGCTTCCCTCTACTTTAGCTCCACCGTGCAGAGGCAGTACCGCCAAAAATTTGGCCTCAATGAGGTACTTTGAAATATATCTTATTTTTGAATTCATAGTTGATTTTTCCTTCGCTTTAGTGATGAATTCCGTGGGCGTTTATTTAATTTTTGGGATCAACTGATCAAGGGTTTCAATTTATATATTGCAGATGATACCTGTGGCTGCCAATGATGTAGCTTTCTCCATTCACGCTGTTCTCTTGACTGCTTTCACCTTGTTCCAAGTTGTAATTTATGATGTGGGTAACTAAAATTTTCTCACTGTTTCTGTTTTTTGTTACTTTTAATTAAAAAATTCACTTTGATAAAAAGATAACCCATCTCAAATGAACTTATTTACTTAGAACTAAACTTTTTAATCTTTCCCAAACATTCTATGGTTCTTGTGTAAAGCTCTAATAGCAAAGAAGCATAACCTGTATGGGTTACTTAATTTACATCTGAATGACATCTTAAATTTTTTTAATTTGCATTTTGACAACCTTTGTGAATCACTTTTGCAGCGTGGAAATCAAAAGGTTTCAAAAATTTGTATAGCAATTGTTTCTGTGGCCTGGTTATCAGCTGTCATTTGTGTTTTCATAGCTCTGCCCAGGCACTCTTGGTTATGGCTGGTAAACTGCTTCAAGTAAGATATCGTCTCTTCAATCAGTGTAACAAATCTATATCAAGTTGTGAATCTGTAGACTTCTCATTAAGATTTATGTAAAGAGTACTGAGATGATCATTACTTGCTTTATTAACCTTAGTATTCTTGGCTAATGGAAGAAACTACCTAGGATCTAATAAGAAATAATGGACCAACTTATTCTATATATATGTACCTGTGAAGTTAATTACTGAAACAGACAAGTAGTTTGCTTGTTTTAAACCATGCTTCTTCATCCTCAGTCTCCTTCTAACTTCTTACATCCTATCTTTAATTGCAGCACAATTCAAGTTGTTATGACAATCATCAAATATATTCCTCAGGTAGATTTGGAATTTGTCCTCTGAGATCGTTCTGCTTTTTATCTTCTGAACTCTTAGTGTTCTTAATAATCTCAAAGTTTACTGTGATCTTTAAAGTTTTTCTTTACAAATTCGCTTCATGATCTAACCCAGAGTTCTGTTAATAAATATAGGCTGTTTTGAACTTTCGACGAAAAAGTACAGTTGGATTTAGCATCGGCAATATTTTGCTTGATTTCCTTGGAGGAGTAACAAATTATTGTCAAATGGCTGTGCAATCCATAGATCAAAGTGAGTTGGTGACTAATATTTGAATATATTTTGTAGAATATGCTTTCAGAGAACTCTAATAATTTAAATCTATCTTTGCAGATTCCTGGGTGAACTTCTATGGGAACATAGGCAAGACCATGATATCTTTGGTATGAGACAGTTTCACTTCTTTCTGTCCTGGTGAATTTCATGTTTTGTCACCAAGTGGTAGAGAGACTTTATACCACCTCTCTGGCTTAAAATAAAAATTTATTAATCACTTCGTAAAATGTCTTTTTTAACCTTTTGTCTACCCCATAACATGAAAGGCTCGACATGTTATGCATATTATTTTACAAACCTAGCCTATTGGATTTACCTATCTTTTTGCTTGCTGGTATTGCTCGAACTTCCAGTAGTGGGGTTCCATAAGCTACTGTGAACTTGGTGGATGATTTTGTTTTCTAAATCCCAAGGCTGATGTGGTTCATGATTAAAATCTAATCTATCTCTGGAATCTTGATAGCTTGTAACATCCTTTGAACAAGAAAACTATAATCTTTGTTTTATACGCAAGGAAAAGAAAAAAGATAAATAAATGAAAGAAAGCTGATGAAGTTGCCCTAAGGATAAACAGTTTTCCATGTTAGGTACTTTCTAAAGCATTAACTGGAACCAATGCACCATATGGCTCACCGCTGAAAAGGGTGTGTTTTTGGCATTATATCCATAATGAATCATCCATAGATTTTCTTGTGTATTTATTTGATTGTTACGTTTGTATTATTTGTTTTTTCTTACCATTTACTCAAGTGCCAAAATAACACAGTTGGATTTGTTGCACGTTCATCCACCTCCTTAAAGTTCATTATTGGGCGCTCGAAGATTTTTTTGCTGACTTCCCCAACGCCCTTAACCCTTGTGTTCTCATTTCTACCCGCATGAATAATGTTTAACCGTCTTGGTGGAATGAATTTTTCAGGTGTCTATCTTCTTTGACATTCTCTTTATGGTCCAGCATTACATACTATATCCTCCCAAGAAGAAGTCTACTTCACCACATCCCAATGTGGTAAGCAAGGAGCCACTACTTAAACCCTCTGATGAACCGAATTCAGATCTTGTATAATGATGACAGACATGGCTCTTAGAAATAATCTTGCACATTATTTTGTGCAAATTAGCAACTCTATTACTTATACTGTAAATTGCATGTATTATCACTCTGTATAGAAAAGCCGAAGCATAATGCTATATATACTGTATCAGTGTAATGCTGTATTCCTACTATTGAGATTTCTGTCCCTGATATATCATGAAGCTTAACATGGTCGAATATTTTTAGCGCACTCTTAGTCTATAACTATATGTCCAGTTGACTTGATACATAGCAACCTGAGTTTCATTTGGAGCCGGTGATCAATTTGTGCCGATGCAGCATGAGCTAGAACCAAGGAGATAAACTTAGCTGTTCCCTGTAATTTGCCTCCTCTAATCTGCTCCGAATTTTGCTGTAGGTATCTGACGAGCAACCGGGGGACACTGGGGCAATAAGATGAAATTTTAATCATCATACCGTTTGGCTAAAAAAAGCGACTTCAATATTTGTTTCATACATGTCTTTGTTCCTTTAGTTTGATCCCGGCATATATATGGTTTTCCTACTTTTTAACCATATGTACTTCCCAAAAAATAAAAAAAATAAAAAAAAATAAAAAACCACTTATAAAATTGAAGAAACATTGTTCAGTTTACCAAAAATTCGGACATAAACATGAGCAGACAAGTAAATTAACTCATAAAGGTTGGCCACAGAGTGTTGGAAGGTAACAGTGAGACGGAACTAAAAAAGACAAACAATAATGTTTTATTCTTTAACAATGTCCAAAATTAAATGTTAGATTATATTAATCTATACTGTCGACTTCTATTTTATTGTTGCTTTTGCTTGGCCAACACGCCAATACTGTTGACCAATTAACCACCTTGCCTCCCAAGATTTCAAGATCGATCTCTATTTAAACCTGCATTTATAAAAACATTTCACTACCATTCCCATTAAGCTCAAAAATGAAGAGAGAGGGTCGACAGCATGGCATGGTCCGAACCAACCCCATTCTCTCACAACCTTTCAACCCAAGGCCCATGGCTAGGCATGTTAACAAGCTTAGCTCACCACCAACTGCCGGCATGTTCACCAAGGTTTCATCCAAGCCCACGAACCACTCCAAGTTTACCGGAAAGTGCGGTCGACCCTGGTGCAACGGGTGCCATATTCACCCAGCTTGTAAGGCAAAGGACAAGACCAAGGGTGCCCAAAAGCTCAGATTGATCACTAGGAGGGTCGTGGACACTAAACCTGGATTCAAGTTTTCGGGCTCTTCCGCCACCGACATTTTGGATCAGTTGACTTATCCTTATATGGATGATGGTGATTGCGTTGATGACGTTCTTGATGATGGATTATGTGATGCCAGGATTTCGTCGAATGATGTTGAAATTGAAGAGATAGATGAATATGATAATGATGATCAAATGAGTTTCTGTGAAGTGGGATTTGTGTGGGAACCATTGGATGGAGATGAGAGTTGGTGCCTGGTAGAAGAAATGTGATTCATTTGATAAATTCTGATGAATTGTATAATCATTGTCCACAAATCCTGTTTATTTGATTTATGTAATCAAGTTGTTAATTCATGTGGTGCAAAATGATTAATAAATTAAGGGGAATTTACAAAAATGTCACAAAAAATGAAAGTTCCAAAAAATTTGTCATTTTCACTTTTTGTAAGCAAAAATGTTACATTTTTTGGGTGCAAAGTCCAAGTTACCCTTAATGACACATTTCTAGTAACATTAAATGCTTGATTTGAAGGAAAAGCATTGACTTGATGTGATAATTTAATTTCTATATAAAAAACATGGAGAAATGTATTTTTTATTGATTAATATAAATTTTTGTTAATAAAAAATCACCAAAGAAATTTGAAAACGTAACATAAACAAGAAACCCTACATTTTCTCCATCTTCTTCATTTTCATTGATCAAGAAGCCGTTTGTGTTGCATTTTTTTCATCCATTTTGAGAGGTTAGCAATTACAAATTATTTATATTTTACTTTATAGCTTTTTATTTGTACATGTTAAATACAACATGGACATATTTCTTTGAAAATTTTGAAAGTACTATGCATTCATTTGTTTGGTTTTGGAATCCTTCACAAAATGTCATTATCACCATTAATGTTTTGAGTAATTTCTTCCATTACCACCATTAAGGTCTCTTTAATGACAAGGTCCAGCTGCCATTTACATTTTGTCATTTTGTAGCTGAATAATAATGATTACACTTAATATGATGTGTTGAAGAAGTCTGAGAAATCCACTATCGTCTGCTTCCCGACATTCTCAACAGTTGAACTGTCGAGTTCGACATTTACAAACTGTCGGGTTATACAATTTTACTTTCAATTCGGACAATTCAAAATGATGGAAACCCTTGATTTGACATTTTGCTATTGTACGGATTTACGTATTATGCAGTGTCGCTTTCATGCTATTAAATGCCAACATATTGATTCTGAATTCTTATCGTTGCAATCCCAACATTTTAGGTATGAGTAATCATTTGAGATTCATCGTGTCGCATGAGAGGGAGTTTGTTGATGTGGATGACGAATGGAAGTGGAGAGGGGACAAAACCACTTTCATTCTAGTGCCGAAAAGTATTATCGTAGCCGAACTTTTGTTAAGGTTGAAGGACAAACTTGGTATTCTTGATCCCCATACTCAAATTGAATTGAAGTTCAAAGTTCCTAACTTGAATATATCTCTGGCCGAAATACGCGACGATGAAAACTTAAATTGGTGGTAAAAGTGATTGTTAAATGTAATCCTGAAAATGTTCCCAACTATGCAGTTGTACATTCTGAAATTATGTTATTAATTTGTTGTTATTATCATATGCTAATAAAAAATTGGTCGTTATGTTTTGCAAGCAAATTACCGATCATTACAGTTCCACATTATTTTCATTATAAACTTAACTGATCATTATGGTTCCATTAGTTTAAACTGACAGTCTGTCGAAATGAAAAATTGATTTTCATGAAATAACAATTCACAAGCAAAACACCAACATTATATCCCGACAATTCATATGTCGTTCCCGACATATGGGTTCTGTAATTTTCGATAGTTGGGAACAATAGCGGCTTTCAAAAATACGCTATAGCGGTTACCCATTATGGACATGCTATTGTTGCACGTATGCAGAGGACGTGACCAAAATCATCCTTACCACAAAAAACTATACATAATTTCCTACAAAAGGGTCATTTATTGCACACTTGCATTGCTATCGACATTTCAAGCTTCTTCCCCACTTTATCCATCAGAATCTTCTGAGCTTATGACAATTATTTTTGGATGTGGAAGATGAGACAGCCAATTCTGTACTTGACACTTCGTCGAACTCGGCACCATGGTGCTCAACACTTACCTCCTCATCGTTCGAGGATAAAACGATGGGAAATTTAGTGGCGAACCCAGTATCAGCGAATGCATATTGAGGTTGAATGATTCGTTGCTGGAGGTGGATGAACCCATTATTTCGTATTACTAACTGTTTCAACATGGGAGTCTCACAAGAACTTCTCTAGTCTTTCAAGGGATGGATTATGCCTTCAACCACAAAGTGTATTTGTATTGGTCAGACATTCACTATCATTTTCTTATTGGTGTTTTCAAGGAGAAACTTATAAAATGCATTAATTCAATTTCTCCAAAAACGAGAAACTTATAATCTTTATAATTTTCATTTATAAACTACAATCCGGATATTTGTCAAACTTATAATTTTCATTTTTTTGAAAGCGAGAAACTTATAAAATGCTCCAATTTCCTCATTTTTCGAAAGCAAGAAACTTATAAAATGCACAAATTTTCATTTTTCAATTAGATATCAGTTTTAATCTCTAGGTCGAATGAGTTCAAAAAAGTAAGAAACTTACAAAGTGCGCTAAAAACAGTTTCCGTACCAATATTTTTCGTATTAAATTCACACAGTTTCTTTGACAGTGAATACCCCTTGAACATAACCAACATTTCCCAAAAAATAAATATACAATTATGTAAAACAAAATGTTCCTCCGTGCATTCTCCATAGTCACCCAAAGTAAAACATTGTCAACGTCACTCTTTCTTTGATATGTACATCGACTGGTTCCACCTCCCATTACATCAAGAACCTGTCGACCAACACTTCGATGCTTGTTCAGGTCATGAGTACGAATATGTACATACGCCATCACACATCAGTAAAATGAGTATTCCGAGATAAAGCACGTAGAAAACAAGGTGAAGAAATGTAATACCGTTTGGGTCCATGCTATCTTTATTGATCACCTCACAAAATAACAAAACGTTTGATAGAATTTCCAAAAAGGTGTGTAGAGTTTGTGATTCAATCCATTTGCATTATAAAATGTATCAGAGTAGAGTTTTATTGCATCTAGTACGAGCTCAATAAGTGTAATTATACATCAGGTTCCAAATTTCATGGCATTTAAGTTTTTGAATGCAATTGTACTGTCGAAGTTGACAAAAAAAAAAGAACTACTCACTTATTTTTTTCCTTTTTTGCAATCTCCCTCATGTACGGAGTCCTAGTAGATAGTGCAGGACGTCGTAGGCGTGCAGATCACATCATCTTTGAGATAGGTGGCATATCCTCGGGCACGGCTGTGGTGGCCTCCACGGCATTTCACTAGCACCGCCTACAAAATATTGTAGAGGGCCCTAAACATTTAATCGAAATTTGTACCACTAATCGTAATTAATCAGATCAAAATTTTCCCACAAGAAACTTACGTCCCCCTCCGCCATGCCGCTAGCGGAAGCAATTGAGTCTTGCTCAACGTTTCCCATACCAGCGTAGGGAACTTCCTCGTTGTCACCGTCCCCCAAACCAACACAAGTCACTGTCTCCTGAACAAGAGGCTCGAAATCCATGTCTGCAAAGACAAAACAAGAAATGAATGCGTCAGACCATAACATAATATTTCTAGCCGCAAAACCACAAGTATGCTATGAAATGTCTATCAAGAGTTCCACTCGAATACAACGAGTACCACACACAACAAGTGGATTGCAAGTGAAAGAAAGGTTATGACACACGTAACATAAACATGGAAACGAAAGATATGTCAAGTGTCAATCAAGATTTCCACCAAATGCATACAACGAGTATCACTCATGTTACTTCAAGTCACCCTTTAAGAATTTACTTATGTAAGATCGAAATTAATGTGAAACACACTGAGCTGAGGTAAGGACCGAACTATCGTTCCCGACAATTAATCTCAGTAATTCTCGACACATGAACTTGTCAAAAGATAAAATGTCGAGAACGAAACATTAAATTCACAAGTATGCTATCAAGTGTCTATCAAGAGTTATGGTGTTTCCTCTCTAGTTTTCCAGCTGACCTAATTAATTTCCTTCTTCATTTCAGAGAGAGAAAACAAGAAGAAAACTGAAAATAAACAAAGGCCCAATTGTAAACTTGTAATATTCACATTTTTAATAGTTATATTAAAATACTATGTATAGTGAAGAGACATTTATTCTTACCCATGGTTAATCTTCTACCATTAACTAATAAGGGCTTGACCATTGTTTGTTGATTAAGAAGTGCAAGAAGTCCATTTACATTACAGCTATCTCATTGCACACCAAAATTTGTGGTTCACAAGGATAGTTCGCTAGACTTCATGATATCAGTTATAAGAAAGTAAAGATAAAAATTACAATGAACTTGCAACCAAACCAACATTTCTATCTTCCCACCATCAACAAGAAAAATTCCATGAATCAAGATAATCTCTTTTTGAATCACAACATTTTTTTTTCCTTAAGGGAACACGAAAATATCCAAATCAAGTTAGAAAAAAATAAAATAAAAAGAAACATACCAAAAAGTAGATATTGATTTTCAACAATTCTCCTAAGTTTAAGTAGATTCCTTATAATTTCAATAAAATGTACATAGGCTTAGGGCTTCAGCATGGTTGCCAGAGTAAACTGTGAACTTTTTAGACCAACAAACTTGGACAAAAATGGATATTTTGGCAATCACGGACGATCTTGAGCGAGAGAGGAAATTGAGAGCCGTTTAGATTTTGGGCTTTAGTTGCTATATGAATGAATATTTTTACCTTTTTAGTTTTCAAATCTTTATTTTTTTTCTTGTAAGTAGTGAGATGGGAGCTTTTGATGTGATGCAAATTAACTTTTTGTACTATTCTTTCATCTAGTCAAATCAATTTTAATTAAGGACATCCAAGGTATTTCAATTTTTTTTGAGGGCCATAAAAGTCATAAAGTGATAATTTGGTCAAAACTGTTAAAAGGTGACATTTTTGTAAATGCAAAGCCAAAAAATGACATCCAGTGTAATTACCACATAAATTAATGAATATATTAATGCAGATACATCTCTCTTCATTCTTCGATGGGGTCATTTATTGGTATTCATTCTATCCATGCAGATGACTTCATTATCACTGGTAACAATCAACAATTATTTATCTTAAAGATCCTTGGCCTTTGACACCATTTTCTAGGGCATTGAAGCTCAATGAAATGCCAATGGACTCTTATCTATCTCATTCCGAATACATTGATGAATTGCTTTCTTGTTCCAAAAAGGAAAATGCTAGGAGTCATCGTACTTCAATGAGCACTAGTAAGTCTCTTTCCTTGCATTATGGTGATCCAATGCCTTACCCAACTTTGTATCATAGTACAATTAGGGCTCTTCAATATATGACAGTGACTCGACCTGATATCTCCTACAATGTCACCCATTCAAGTCTTTTTTTTTTTTTTTTTTCAAATACTAATGATGCAGTCATTGGCAAGCTTGCAAATGAGCTTTTCATTATCCTAAAAGAACTGTTACTGATGATCTCCATTTCTTTCCATCGACTAAACTCAACATTGTGGGATTCACTGCTGGGAATGTTTTTTTGAAATCCTTACTTGGGAACTTGGTATATATTGTTTCACCTCCTCCTATTGTGTGGTTTCTTTAGCTGAAAATTCAGTGTTTGAGATTAACAATCACCTCTTTCGAGATACAAAGGCAATCCATTTCTATAAATGTCGAATATCCTCTTTTATCTCTTCTGCCCTGTGGCCATTAATAATCACTTCGAATGTCTATCAATGTAGATTTTTACGTGCAAAATATACATTTTCTTTTCAAGAAATTTAAATATACAAATATATTTTCTTTCTAAAAGAGCTAGTTGTTTTATGTACGGGCAACGCTCAATGAGTTGATGAACCGATTAACCTCCTTGCTGCTAAAATTTTCAAGAATCTCTCTATTTAAACCTACGCATTCCGTAGCCACTTCAATTAACCTCGCAAGAACCCAACCAAAGATGAAAAGAGAGGGACGCCAACACGGCTTGGTCCGGATCAACCCAATCCTACTGATATGGCAAGTTTTGGGTATGCTCGAACACTTATCCCAAGGACATCTCTCATAAATCCCTTGCGATTCCACCTGTTGTGCTCGAGATTAAAACTATCCTAGGGATACATGCTCGAGCAATTCCGGCCTTTATATATCCACATTTTCATGGACTTGTCCTCAAGTAAGAGCGGTCCTCGGGATAGTTTCTCCCTGCAGCCTACGATTGTTATTACTGACCTAATAAGACTCCTATGTAATTGGGACTCTAACTCTTACCATATTACTTCGACACTTGACTCCCACAAGGACTCTTTCCCAAACATAATTATGACATTAGTCCAACTCCTTTACCTAATAGGACGTCGAAAGAGAAAGATACCCAGCTAGTTGAGTCCCACTAGGAGAACGTCACCTACTACTATAAATACAGAACCATGGGTCATTATTTAGGTACGTTTTCATTAATCTCTAGTTTACAGCCTCACGCATATAATTTCCTTTCTGACTTAAGCATCGGAGGGGCGACGAGAACACATCTCATTGCCTTTGTTTCAGGAATCGAAAGACTACGATTGTGCTCATTCAAAATCCTCAAGCTCGAAAAATCAACAGGTACGATTTTTGGTAGCATCACCTACCATTACCTTTGAACACTCGGCCAGACCTAAGGTTTGTTATCAAGCTGGGCTCACCGTCAATCACCGGCAGTCGGCTGAGGTGTTTGGGCTGCCATACTCACCCAGTTTCCAAGGTCACGAGAGTCCAAAAGCTCAGATCATCATTGATCACTAGACGAATCGTGGATGAAGCTGGCTTTAAAATTTCCGGCTGTTCTGCCAAGGACAAGATAAGACTTATCCTTGTATGGATGATAGTTCTAATATCGAACATTATGAATGTGATTGTTCATTATGCTTAACCAGAATCCGGAGGGAAGCTGGTTATTTTGAAGAGGTGAATGAAGAAATTGAAATGACGGATGAATATGATAATGATGATCAAATGAGTTTCCGTGAAGTGGGATTTGTCGTCGAACCGTTGGATGAAAATGACAGTTGGTGCCTGGTGGAAGAAATTTGATTCATGTGGTGCAAATGAACATATTATACACTTTCTTGAATGAGTTTGTGGTCGTATGAAATGATTCCTTTTACCATAGGAATTAAACAATCTTCCATTAGACATTTAGATAAATGATCGCAAAACGCTCATGGCTGGTGTAGTAGGTTGGATTACACAAGCTCAAATAGGGAGAAAGAAGAAAATTCAACTAAAATTTTGACTATTGTATAGTCTATTCTTGTTCACTTCTATGCATCTAACTACCCTTAATGAAGAAAATACTATTTCATGAGCTTATCATTTTATCATAAATTTGTGTACAATGAAACATGTAGCAATAATCCTTCCTTAGCCCAAATGGAACTCTACAACTATCGAATTACTTGTGATTCCAAAAGTTAGGAGTTCCTCCACAGACGACAATGCATAATTGTGAATGATTCCCCAGGAAGATACAAAGAAAACATGCACACGTTTTCATCATGGCTGAATATTTGGGGTTCTGTTTTCATGATTGATCCTTTCTGGTTTTGATGTAAGAAAATCGCCGGGGATTACAATTTTCTTTTTCGATGATACATTCTTGGAAGTACCATTCTTCTTTGTCAAAAATGTTGGAGGGGGAGGAGGTGGCGGCATTGAGACAATGCCTTGCTTCTTGCTTGAATATGTTTTCCCCAGTGGCTCCGGCTGGGATTGTGAACTCTGAAATAGTAATAGTAAAAATCAAGTAATTGAGTCGTAACATTTCCAAAGTTTGAGGTGGTATTTATTAGAAACGGAGAAACCTTTTTCATCTGATTTTTTGGTATTTCTCGTTCCTTGTAAAAATCAGGTAGCGGACGAGCTTTGAAGCAAAAGCTTTGACGCAATTTTCTAAATTCATTTCCTGCTTTCTCCTGCATATATAAAAGGCTCTTCAATCATAGAAACGGGATCCAATCACGAAGTACAGAAGAAAAAAGACCGGCATCAAGAGTATTCCAACCCTTAGTTTCGTTTGTAGTTGCATCTTTGGTGCCTCCTTAGCATTGAATTTCTCCTCAAGTTTCTGAAATCGTTGGAAGGAAGAAAATGAGCATACTATTAAGTCAAAAAATATGTTTGAAAATGAGGTCTAGAATAGGAAACGAGCACCCTTGCCTGTTTTCTTCTGGCAGCTCTTTCTTCCGTCCTCAGAATAAATGGAGTGGATAAAGTTGGTGATTGTAATTTGTTCCGGTAGGTAGTAAATGACTTGGGGCAACTAATATACAAACATATTGGTACCAAAACTAAGTATAAGAAGGGTTTAACCCCTAGATACAATATGTGGAAGGAAAAAAAAAAAAAAAAAAATTGAAGAGCCAACACACTGATTTACGTGAATTGTTTCGGGAGAGATTTGCATATCATTTGAACTTACACTGCCGATAAAATATGCCATTTGGGGCCGCTTGTTTTGCTTCCTAAAGCTGAGGGATTGATTGGTGCTTTGTTCCTGAAACTTATAGACATTGTGAAATTAGTTTCAAATTTTCACTTGTCATCAAATAACTGTATTGAGTTAATTAACTTCTTGTACCTTCTATCTTCGGATCGAGGAGTTGCTGCATTATACTTTAACAAACCATATTTAGCCGCCTGCAAAAGATAACAAGCATTAATCTTAGCATGCTGAAAACAATTTTCTACTCAAACAGGCCGAAGAAAAAAACATTCTGCGACGTAAATTGAGAGGTACCCCAATCGGAGTCTTCAGAGGAGTCGCACAATCTTTTTTTGTCTTGGGTGGAATTGGGGGAACACCTGAACTTTCAGTTCTTTCGTTCGAAGGAATTGAGACTTTATCTGGTTCTTTAGCAGGAACTATATTAATCAATGCACGTAGAGATTTCTGAGAGGACTTGTTTTTATCCATAGAGTCCACATTAGACTTCCTTGTGACAATATGTTCTGTCTCGAAATGAGGAGTAATTGGCTTGGCAGGTGTATACGGAACTTTAGACGTCTTACGGTGAATAGATGACTTGAATGAAGAAAGAGCTGATCTTTTCTTGCTTGTCACTGATGGATTATCTTCTTGTTGGTCGGAATTCTGATGCATTGACATGTTTAGTGCACAATATTATATTAGATGGGATCAGATCGAACTGTGTGTATTAAACATGTCATCAGCGAAAAAATTCAAAGGCATTAAATATGTATTACCTTCAACAGAGGTTTCTCCATCTGGGGTGTTCCACTAGTCTCTGAGCCAGAAGCTGAATCTTTGTTCTCAACATTATAAACCTTGTTCGACGAATTTTCCCTCACCGGAGTCTCCCCTGAGGCCTCAATTACACCATCTTTCCCAGTTTCTACTTCATTTGATTCAGCAATGGCACCGTGTTCACCGGCATTAACCTCGTCCCCTCGTTCATCGGCTGCTTGCAAATCATTAGCATGATCCCCACTATCTATAACATTATTGGAGGCATTTTCTTGATCAACTAAAGCTGCTGCTGCTGCTTTTTGAGCAGCAATTCTCTTGTAATGAGCTTCAAAAAAAGCCTTCTTCTGCGCCACAGATCCCGGCTGCGAATACCTTTCGGCCTCTTCAACGTAACGCTTGTGGGATGAAAAGGAGGACCATTTTTCCCAAGACAAAGATTCCGACATAAACCTCCCAAATGAAATTGACTCCCCAAGAGCGTGCATCGGGTTCCCCTGTAATTCATAGCCCATCTAATCGATGAACTTAAATTCTTTAAACATACAATTTAAGATTTGTTATTTTTTCCGAAGAAGTCCGCCAATTTTCAGCCCATTGTTACAAAATTCTTTTCATATTCAAAATACATTATTACTAGCAAAATTTATCAGCATTCAAGAACAAGAAACCTAAGAAGTAAATGCATCAAAATAAGTAATTATTTGCAAGTTGAATTTCTGGTCTGAAGATTTGAAAATATGAAGTGGGATACTTATATTATACCTGTCTGGCTTCATTGGGTATGGCAGAAGCATAAGAGAAGCCATGCATAAGACTCGCCGAGTCTCCCATTTGTTTGCAGGTTTGCAGAATGAGAAGCTCACAACACAACAACAATTGAAAATTACAAATCCCAGAAAACTCTGACCTTAGGTGTGATGTTTTTGTCGTTTTATTTTTATTATTATTTTTATTTTTTTGGGCCTTTCGGTATCGGTGACACAAACAGGACAGCTTTATCTCAGCCTTAAATTTGAAATTCAAATGAAAAGGCAGTAGGCAAAAGTTGTAGAGTAGGCCACATATTGAGGAAATTTTTTTACATTTTTTGCATTTTGGTATGGGTCCCACATGTCTTAAATTAATCAAGAATCGTAACGTTCTACTTTTTTGAATTTTTAATGTGAATTAGGGTTTTGGTTAACCATATCAACCGTTGGATTTTAAATTTTAAAAAGAAACTAAAAGCGGGTTTATGCTATGATTGTTTATAAAGCGCATATTGCTAAAAGGAGTGTTGGTTGAAGTCGCAATCGTAGGTTAAGGGCTGAACCACTTTTTGTTGCTATATCAGATTGAACCATCATGGCTCTCTGTGCTGGCTGTCCTTCTAGAGTGAACTCATCCCTTCGAAGAACATGACGTCAGCCCATCTACAAAATCCATTTAAGCCCCGTTTGGTATCCATTTTGTAAAAATAAGAATGAAAAATATAATCATTACAGGATCCTCACAATAAATAGAAAGTCAAATATGATGATTTGATATGATGGATAACTGTCATATTTTTCATTTTTATAGCCAAAGAATGGGAATCAAACAGAGGCGTAATTTTATTGACGCTAATTTTCAATGAGGTAGTACAATCATCATAAACTTTTAATTTGTAAAAAGTGAACACTTTCCTTTCAATTTTGTAGCAAGTCCTATTAACCATTTTCATGTATGCAGGCGTAAAAAAAATCTATCGAGATCAGCCCCTGTTTCATATAGCTTAAAGAGTAGTAAATTAAAATTTACGTTAAAATCATAATTAATTTTAACCATATATTTCATGTGAATCACAACTTTTTAACCATATATTTCATTAACTTTTATCAAAATCTAATTTGTAGCTACACCAACATGAGCTAAAGTAAGAGAATGGGAAGAACATACCCTTTCTTTGAAACAACATGGCTTGTGTAACAATGGATATGCATTATAGAGAAGCACAAAACAAATAACAGAAGCTACAAAAAGAAAATCTCATGGACATTTATTGCTTATCATACCGTCTCTTAAGTATAACGCTGTTTTATGCTCCAGGAGTACTTGCCCTAACATCAGACATTACCAAAACTGGTAGTTAATCAGTAGATAATGCCAAATTGTGATCCGAATTATGCTGCAATATGAAACAATCCAGTAATCCAAGAACTCAACCTTCATTTACATACACAAAATCCACTACTGCAGATAGAGCCGCACTTGTGTATTGACACATTTCAGCTCGACTATGCAGCTGTTGGATCACCCCCCGGTATGATTTTCTTTTCGTCACAAAAGAACTGTATGTGCAATATATATCAGGCTCTCATCCTCTATGATATTTCAGCATTCCGGAGATGTTGATCATGACCATTCATGTCCCACAAACCCAATTGCGTGGTTCTTCCCTTTTATCTTAAAACTTTTACCTCTTCTTTTCTGCCCTTTACGACTGGAAAGCGTCACTGACATCAATGCGACAAAACCAAAGACTGCAACTGCCCAAAGCATGATGATCCAAATTTTCATGGAAGTTAATATTTGATTGTTAACTGAGGGTAGCAATAATTCCTGAGATTCATTCCCTGGGTTGGAATAATGTCTCGAGGCATCATCAAACTTTCCTAATTTCCGAGAAGTTGTAATTTCACTACTGGTCTCTCGATTTGGAGGTTGTAATGAACTGGGATCAGGTGTTCCTCGATTTGGAGCGTGCAGTGAAGTGGAAACTGGGGTCTTGGGGTTTGGACTGGACAAGGAAGTAAGATTCGAGCAGTTCTTACTTTCATGGTATACATGTAGAGCTTCGTTCAATTTAATTGCACACTCTATGCTAAGCAAGTCGCGCTGAAACGCTCCCTCGTCAGACTGGTCAAGGATCGATGGATCAGGAGGGTCAGGAAACTTTGCCCAGCATTTATTAACCAAATCCACGTGTCTCCATCTCGCTTTATCGAAGCTCCAGTCAGCAACCCTAAATTCCAAACCATAGTGAAATATTCTGTACTCGACTCCAGGCACAGGAACATATCCTGGGTATATCAGGAGCTCGTTTCTTATGACATGCCGCAAATTCAACTGCATCGATAATATTTATACAGGTAACAAGCTATCATAAAAATATTATTTTTTCAACATCTTGCATTATACTGAAGCAGTGAATGCTAGCAGTACAAGTTTAATGCAGCCATAAATAGTTTCGGCAGTTCTAATAATCTTCCTTTCGCTAAATGGTTAAATATTATTCTAATAATCAGTAAGGAGCTAAAATACCTCGGCTGCTCCAAAAGAGTAACCATACATCTCGCTAATCCAACCAGATTCATAAACGTCCCCAGTTATGTTTCTAGACCAATGAGCTGTATCAGCCCGGAGCTCTTCAGTTTTACGGAGCCAAAGTGAAGCCAATCTCCTGAGGTCGCTTATATGCATTATGATCACACCTCCAACCTTGTTGCAAGCATCAGGATTATTGGTATGGATTTTTGCAAGCTCATTGTCACAGCCAATCAGGTATCTGAAATAGTATATAAAAGGATCCGCGTGACTAACTCATGGTATTCCCAGGACGTGGGCAGGATAAAACAAATACTTCAATCTTACTCATAAGGAGTTGCAACGGGCCTGCCAGGAGCTGCATTGAACTCCCATGGTGTAATAGGTCCTCTCATAATCATGTCAGATTCAAGGATTACTATGTACTCAGCATCAATCTTTGCATGATCCAGCCAATGCACAACTCCAGCTGGTTTATGTATTGCAGGATACCTGATGTGCAACAAATGAAACCGTGTTACTATCTACTAAGGTGCTCCTAGGTTATTAATAGCATATATGGTGGGGAGGAATAGATAGCATTAGATAGTTTTAAGGATTTGATTATATTGCGGAGTCCTGCCTCCTACCAAACACACTAAACGCATTATTATTTTGTCTGTGTTTTTTAGGTTCTCTCTCTCTTCTTTTTTTTCCCTGTGGGGTTTGGAGGTTGGAGCCAGTTAGGGATATAGAAAGAAAGGGAATGGAGGGTGGTCATAGAGAACAAATGCAAACTAAAAAGAACACAAATTCATTTCAAATTCAGTTGGTCTTGTTCAAGAAAAGTCCCAGTAGGACAGAGTCACAGACAACTATTACATGCACAAACTCAGACATTTGCTTGTCTTGATATTGTTTTCTTCTCAAGCTTTATGTAATCATAAGTTTAGTAATATTTTTCTGTTCAAATGAACATAGGCAAAGCTTCATATCGTTGAATGAGAATTTCAGCAAATGCAAAAGACATTACCAATCGCCAGTTACTGGATGCCGGCTCATTGATGGAAAATAATGGGTGGGAGCTATATTGAGTCCTTTATACTGCTTCAAGTCCTCTTCTGTACAACTAAGAAGCCTCGTGATATTTCCAGGCTGGCCACTCAGGTGAAAACTGTGGACAAGCCCCACAGTTTGCCAATCATAGTAAGTGGAGCACTCTGTTGAGAAAATGGTATGAATTTTTGGGTACGACTTTGCAGGCTCACCATCAACTTCTGACCGTCCTTTAACTTCCATGATTCGACGATTTCTAGGAGCCAATAATTTAGGTCGAGTTAGTTCCGCAAATGTTTTGCTCCTCAAGAAACTCATGTATTTTGACCACTTAGGCTTAGGGAAACCATGTGCTGCATGTCGTATCAATAGGCCTTCATTCAGAGTATTTATACATTCAATGCTAAGAAATAGTGCCCTCCTTTTGTTTAAATCGGCTTCCATTTTTTTTACCTGCAAAAAAATGTACTAAAAGATAAAACTAGCAATTTGCACGAGAGATCAGCATGCAAGGTTGTTTTCAAGACTTCAGGTTGCTTAACCTATTAATGACACAAAGCATGTTTGGGGTGGCTTATGCTCTAAAATAAGCTCCAAATTTGTGGCTTGACTTGACTTATTTTGAATATAGGTTAGTCCACATTTAAAAATAAGCCACACATTTGTGGCTTATTCTTAAGAATAAGCCACACATTTAATGCTCATACTTGAAGACAACGAAGTATAGAGATTGAAGCCATCCTAAAATTATCGTTCATTTCAACAAGCACTTTATTAACCTCTCTAGGGTAAGGAGGTTCGGGAAAGAGATAGCCACAATTATACACAATATTGTCTTCACGGTGATGTAATTTATTGAATGACCACTTTCCAACACTAAACTGGATGCCATAGTGTAAAAGAATGGGATCGATGCCCTCCCAGGGAGTATACCCCAGGTAAATCACCATTCATCAAGTTATCATTTATCTTGTGGTGGAGTCCCACCTGATAAAGCATACCACCTATTCATGTACGTATATATTAACCTGTTTACGTATCTGTATAGGAGAAGGAACTTCACAATATTGGCAAGTTTGATAAAGATGATTGGAAAGTGAAGAGAAAAAAAGAAGAAGAAGAAGCTTCTTGTATTATACAATCGAATCTTGTTCAATACTACATACCATACAGGCATTATATGTATGCCTACAGTTGGACGAAAAAATTGGGCATTATAGGATAAGAAGGATCAATTTACCTTGGACGCACCAAATGAATATCCATACATTTCACAGATCCATGCTGTTCCATATATGTCACCAGTATAATTTGTATCCCAATGGGCTCTATCTTCTCGTACTTCTTCAGTTTTTGCGAGCCATAAGGGTGCCAAAGCTCGAAGATCATCTATATGCATGGCTAATAGCCCACCGACCTTGTCACAGAGTTCAGGGTGCTTGGTGTGAAATTTATCGAGAATGTTGTCACATCCAACCAAGTATCTGTCCAAGAAATATACTTTTTATGAATATATTCTACAAGGAAGCACTGCTGAAAAATATAAGAAAGCTATGAAAGATTTTTTTATTTTTTTTAGTACTGATGAAAATATTGTTAGTAGGAAATAAACATCACAAAAGAAGTACATTGGGTAATTCTAGTCTCTTTATCTCTTTTGGCTTAAAATTAGAACATCTTACTATCCATCGTGTCCTCATTGAGCTAAGTAAAGATCGACTTTTTTTTCACTGACTTCGTTCCTCCTCATAATTTAGCATTTCTGTCAATTAACATGCACATAATACTTTCAAAATCTCTCGATAGCACATATACAGAGTTCCCTTTTCATCATCAGAAATTAACGTAAGTGGAATGAAGCGTATAAGCAAGCAATCCAACATGTTCATTAAGTACAAATTCATTCAATGATTGCCGGCCAATTACAGTAACAGTTTAAAGATGACATCAAATCATTTGAGAATCGAGCAATAATCTGTCAGTGTGCTGTCAACTGATGAGATTTAAGAACAAAACGAAATTCAGTAAACAAATACACGTCATAATTCATGAAAATCTACCAATACTATAGAATTCTAACCTTAGTCCCCACTAAAATGAATCCATACACAGATCATCAGTCTTACCGATAATATCCAGCAACAGATTTGCCTTTCTCAGCACCAAGTTCCCGCGGTACAATTGGGATTCGAATGATCGTGGTTGCATCTAAAATTACTAACCAATCCACATTTTCTGCATCCTTGCTATGTTTTAGCCAATGCACAATCCCAGCTTGTTTATTAATTGTAGAATACCTATCACAACCCACAAATTAAAAATTAAAAAATTAAAAATTAAAAAAAAATGCAGAAGCCACCCGTCTAAATAATGCAAAAATGAGACGGTCAAATGAAAACTCTCGTGAAATTTAAAGCAATTATATGAGTCTCCAGAAAATGCAAAGACAAACACGTTAATGCAGTACCAATCACCAGTCTTGGGGTGCCTACTTATGGAGGGGACCTCAAGTCTGGGGGCCAAATGCATTCCCATGTAACTCTTTCTCTCCTCCTCTGCGCAGCTTAGGAGCCGGGTAATGGGGCCGGGCTGGTGGGCCTTGCGATATCTGTGCAAGAGGCCCACGGTCTGCCAATCGTAGGAGTACTGGCACTCTACCGAGACAAGAGTGTGAATCCTCCTGGCCCCCGAATTTTGGGCTTGGGCCCGCCAACCATTCATCATCATCCCTACAACAAATAACACTAGAATTCTCTCCATTTTCATTATTACATATAAAGAATCTCGTAAATGGTTTTTGTTTATAAAGATCTGAATTTTATGTTCTGTAGAGAATCAAAGGCTGTCTTTTTCTTTAATTATGCATATCTTTCAATTATATTCCTGTAAAGCAGGATAATGTCTACTCTTGATTGGACATTTGAGAGAGAGGAGAGTATTGTTTGTATTTATCGGAGATTTGCTGACACAGTCTAACTTTAGAAGGCAGAATCTCGGGACAATTTTTTGTTCAGTTCTTTTCTTTTTGGGAAGATTTCCATAAACGCCTTTCCTTTCGTGACAATAGTTTCGTTCTTACATCAACTAGAATAGATTACCCCTTTACACTTCAGAATCAGTCCAGAGCTAGAAAAATTCATGGTGGCAACTTGTGAAAGATACCCGTTACGCCCCTATCTAAAACACTTCGGAAAGTCTGTCACTGAGTCATACGAGGTGTCCAACACCCATCCGAAATAGTTCCGAAGTGACTTCACCACTAATGTTGATGAGCTGCTAACGCGCTGCGAGGCACAACAATTCTACTGAACCAACTGAAGCGTTCTTGCCTCTGATGCTGAAGCACAATGCACTCCGAGGATCTCTGTCAGAGGATCCACCACCAATTTTAGAAAGAGATCTGTGTCAAGATCCTTTCTTCCCCCAAAATTTAATTGATTTGATGTCTCCATGAGCTTAGTTGATGTGACGTATCAATTTTATGTCAACTCAACTCGGAAGAAGTTATTACCCGCCCACTCTATAGACGCGGTTGATTGACGTCTATGAGCAGACGCCTCATACCGTCAGATGCATACACGTCTCATATCTAACGGCTCTCCTCAACTATAAATACCCAATGTTTGACAAGAGGCAAAGGGAATGAAATTCTTACAACTTAGCTCTCCATAACAAATAAATATATATTTTCCTCCCCACCCTTGGCAGTTGGCATTGTTCCGATCACATAAGCTAACTTGACCGTTGGAGTGTATGCGGTCGCCGCCACACCCCGCTGGTTCCAGCTGTGTGCATCTGACCGTGCCTTGACTGTGCGCAGGGAGGATTACGTAGAGCAGCTATCGGTTGGCCACGTGGAGGGTCCAATTCGCGAGGTTAACAGATTGGTGCCGTCTGTGTGAAGTACTTCTCATTCAAAGTTCTACATTTTCCACAGAAAAAGCCACCGAAAAACCCTTGACTTACCCTGAAAAGGGGACGTTCTTGAAAAGAACAAAGTCGAATTACAATCCAAATCCTCATCACCCTTGAAAAAGGAGTAGATAAGATGAGTTACAGCAATGAGGACGCAAACCCCAAGATGGACTCCTCTGAAGAAGAGGTGCTCCGAAACAATGTCACTTACCAAAGACCCCATCACTGGCGTCGTCGAGGTGAAAGAACAGCCATGTTCACTGAAGGAATGACCCAAATAGCTGCGGGCATGAGAGAGATCGCTGCTCAGAATATGGCGATGCATGAATTCTTCATGCGAGCCCAATGTCACCAGGACACCCAAATGCCCCAAGAATCTTACCCAACTCGTAAAGTCTCTGTGTCTTGTTCTCGAGGCCATATGAGCTAGCACAGAGAGCCCCCCTCGAGAGAGAAGTGGGTACGGAAGTCACTTCTTATGTGCAAGGGAGCTAGCCAGCAAAATCGCAATTGGGAATATGAAGCACAAAGGTTAGTCAGTGTCTTTGACCGGATAGGGCGGGACCCTAGTAATAGGGTCCGCGGTCCGCTCAGTGGAAAGATCAGTTCGACAAAGGGAAGAGCAAGCAAAAGCGCCCCTTCCACCTAGAAATAGGAAGGAGAGAAGAAACTTAGTTGATTGGGGTAGCCGAGGAAGAGCACCTCCACCCCCTAGAACATGCAAGATGATGGGGACTTCGAAAGGTCGTGTCGATCTTACGAGATTGATGATGATGATGATAATCTCCCTTTCTCAAGGGAGATCCGAGGCTCCCCAATGCCTGCGAACTTCGTACCACCTAAAATTCCCAAGTATGAAGGAAAAGGGGACCCGGAGAAGCACCTCACGAAGTACATGACACAGATGAGTCTCAGGGGAGCCTCGCCTTCTTTGAAATGTAGAGCCTTCAACCTAACCCTAGCCGAAGCCGTCGAAGTGTGGTACAACAAGCTGCCTCCTTTGAGCATTAAGAGTTGGCCAAAGCTAAAGAAAGTCTTCTTGAACCAGTACTTCTCACGTAGAGAACGAAAGGCTCCAGTGCAATGCCTACAAGATATGAGACAAGTCCCTGGAGAAATACTGAAAAGCTATCTCGTGAGGTTTATGGACGAGATCACCTACTGCAAACAGGTCACTGACAAAGAAGCTCTTTCAGCCTTGAAAGGCGGCCTTAACATGAACACTTTGTTCTGGAAGGATGTGCGCAGCAAGAATCCTACCACTAATGACGAATTGGTGGAAATGATGAGAGTTGAGATATTCAGTGAAGAGATGATTGATCACCGAAATCGTGTCGCACGGGGACTCTCTCCGCCTCAGAAACAGGTAGGTCGAGGATTCGCAGCGCACCTTGTCACCCAGCAATGGACCCAGACAGGGCATACAATAGCTCCCACTTTCGGACAGGTACTAGCTTCTGCCACACTAAATGCATTGCCGATATTGGCATACGAGAATGCCCCTACTGAGGCGGGACTATCTAGAGGTACTGATAGTAGTCGAAAGAAGAAGAAGAAGAGGTTAAGCAAGCTTTTAGAAGGGGCAAGGTTCTGCACCTTCCACCAACTCTATGGACATAACACTAGCGAATGCAGAGACGCTTCGTAGCACTCAGATCGAAATAACCCACATCCCTCCATGAGGAACGAACATCCCCGTAGATTCGCCTCCTTGAATAGGGCTAAAAGGAGGCATAGAGATCAATCACCCCGAAGAAGAGGATCGAGGGACAGAGAGATCAGGCCCCATTTTCTGGAGGCCAAATTTGGTTGAAAATGCGCCAATAAACTAAACCCGTGTGAAATACTAGTCAAATTTGATTGGAAGCACACCAAATATACAACATTCAGATAAATTTTACTCAAATTTGATTGAAAACGTGTCATTTAACAAAACTCAGATGAAATTGTAGTCATATTACTTTGAAGCGCGCCAATGAACAAAAACCAGACAAAATTTTAGTTAAATTTGATTGGAAACACGCCAAAGAACTAAACCAATGTGAAATTTTAGTAAAATTCTATTGGAAATGCGCAAATGATAAAACTCAATTGAAAATTTAGTCAAATTTGATTACAAACACGCCAATGATCAAAATCAAGAAGAAATTTTTGTCAAATTTGATTGGAAATGCACCAAAGAACTAAACCTATGTGAAATTTTAGTAAAATTTTATTGAAGACGTGCCAATGATAAAACTCAACCGAAAATTTAGTCAAATTTGATTACAAACATGCCAACAATCTAAATCTAGGTGAAATTTTAGTCAAATTTGATTGGAAACCCGTCGATGAACAAAACGCAGATGAAATTTTTGTCAAATTTTATTGAAAATGTGCCAATGAACTAAACCTAAGCAGAATTTTAGTCAAATTTAACTGGAAACCCACTAATGAACAAAATCAAATTAAAATTTGTACCAAATTTGATTGGAAACACGCCAATGAACTAAACCTATGAGAAACTTTAGTCAAATCTGATTGGAAACCCCCGACGAACAAAACGCAGATGAAATTTTTGTCAAATTTTATTAAAAATGTGCCAATTAACTAAACCTAAGCTGAAATTTAGTCAAATTTGACTAGACCCCGCTAATGAACAAAATCAAATTTAAATTTAGTCAAATTTGATCGGGGGACCTCACATCGACGGTAACACTAGGAATGCCCCAAGGAACTACACAAGGGAAGCAAAGGATCCGCCAATGCTCACGTACATCGTCAACCAGTCCCAAGAAGCCAACAGGATGGCCTCGATTACCTTCTCCCAAGAAGATACACAAGGAGTTCACGACCCCCATTGTGACGCATTGGTAGTAAGAGCCGTAGTAGCAAGAAACAGACTCAAATGCATGCTTGTCGACAATGGCAGCTCGGTGAACATACTGTTTGGCTCTATCTTTGACAAAATACAAATTGAACACGGGCTAATCCCCATGACCGACCCATTATTTGGATTTACTGGAGATAGCATCATCCCACGAGGACGAATTACTCTGCCCGTCGAGATGGGTTCAGCTCCCCTAGTGGCCCAACATTTCATGGAGTTTTTGATAGTATACCACATGTCAGCCTACCACGGAGTATTGGGCAGACCCGCCTTGAAAGATCTTTGAGCTGTCACCTCCATACATTACTCTGCGAAAATCATAGCCCCGTAGTGTTAATGTAATCATAACGGAGGTTGCGAATGAATCTGACCTGGATGTGGAAATGCTCAACGTCCTTGAAATAGGGCAGACCTCCGAACAGGAGGAAGACGTCGACATGGAAGAGGCCCCTGAAGAAGGGCACCCTCTTGATGAATTAGACCCCCGAATAACTGGCTCGAAACCGAACGCGACCCCAATGGAAGAACTTGAAACTTTCTCCGTCAATCCAGAGGACTCCAGTCAAGTCCTGCAGATAAGAAAGGGTTTGTCCCCCGAAGCGAAAGAACAGATGATAAGCTCATGGATGTCTTCGCTTGGAAGCACGAAGACATGATAGGAATAGACCCAAGGATCAGTTGCCATCGCTTAAACATCAACGCCTTCTGTGTCCCACATCGACAGAAAAGACGAGCACTCAACCTCGAGAGGTACGAGGCGCTCAAAGACGAAGTCAATAAGATTAGACGCAGTGGCTTCATCAAAGAAGCCATTTATTCGAAGTGGATATCCAACCCGGTCCTTGTGAGGAAGCCTAGCGGGAAATGGAGGGTGTGCGTAGACTTCACGAACTTAAACAATGCATGCACTAAGGATAGCTTCCCACTGCCGAGGATAAACCAACTTGTGGATTCCACTGCTAAACATGAACTCTTGAGCTTCATGGATGTGTAC